AAGCTCAATAAACTTGTGAATGGGATTAGGTGACATGATGCCTGTGAAATCACTAGACTCATTTGCCCAGGAAGGGGTGTTTGTGGGGTTTTGCCGTGCTGATGAAATGGAGAATGAGCTGTTGAGCTCCATGTGCACCATTAAAGGTCAACACGCTTATGTGGAAGTTGTGCCATTTGTATGAGACCAGGCAGCGTCCACAAAAATGGATGGTATCTTGGAATAAGTGTTCAAAGTTCATTTACCTTGATAGTGGAGAATATCACATTGCAGGCAATTTATCACATGAAAATATTTATATATTTTTAATGTCAAGTTTAAGTACTGAAGTCTTTTCACTTGCAAAATTGCCAGGGGCTCTGCTGGAGGTTTGATACGTTTTGGCACTCTGCAAATGCACGAGTTGGTCATAGCATGTGTTTGTGGAGCTTGGATTTGCCAGTATGACTTGTTTGCACAGAATAAAATGTTCAGCGGGGCATAAGAGATAAAAACTAAGTTTCCCTTTCTAGAAGTAATATGGGAATTAGCCTACATTACAGAGCTTAAATTACACTGATTCTCCTCCAGGGTTGGAATAAAATTTTCAAAATTACGTCTAATCTGTGAAGAATCTAAACCATATGGAAATCTTCCTAATTCCCCTGGGTGTTTTTGACACTTCTACCCGTAGGTCTTAGAGTATTTTGAGGTTTTTTTCTGGTGCAACAATCTCAGTTCCAGGTGCGCGATTTTTCAGTAATAAAATAGTTACACTACTTAACTTTCTAGTGCCGATGAACTTATATCAATAAGGGAATGTCAATACTAATAGATAATAGTATCACTCGTAATAATCCCTGTGGGTTGTACTAGTTTTAATTCTGTCAGTGCAGGTGATGGTGTCACTTACCTATGTACAAAGACCCGTTTAGCTCCTGTTCCTTGCTTAAAAATGGGTCATGGGTTCAGAACAGAATTAGGACTTTTCAAATGTTGTTTTTCCTTTGGGCAGAGAAACAGCTTCTTTGGAGCTCTACCTCTGAGAAAGATTGCTGTGATTTTTCGCTAGACCTTTGGAAGTACTGATACAGCATTTTTTGGAGCTCATCACCCGTAGCAATCATTCAGCCCTGTGGCTCATATCCTATTTTTGAAAAGCTATTTCCTTTTGGTGCACATGTCTTTTCCCTGTGTTTATATGAAGCAGTCAATGGGGCTTTCAGCCATAAGGATCAGAATGAAATCAAATAAATTACTTCCAAAGATAGGAAACCATTTCACACCTTGGAGCCTCATTTTGCTCCAGATGTAGCGTGTTACAGCTTATGCCAGTTAGAGCCGATTATAAACCAACTGACCTGTCGCGACACTTAAAATCTTGGTAGAATTTGCTCTTTGCCTGGAAGCCGACACTTCGTTTTCATCCTGTCTGGGTTTGGATCTGTAGCTGCGAACGGGGTGATTGCCCTGGAGTGAGGATGAAAATGGGTTTTCATTCACTCTGCCATTATGAAGAAGTGTATCTGTACATGCATTCAATTATAAATACACCAAGGTTCTGTAAGAAGTACAGTTCCTGCTAGCATTTAAAAATAAATCCAAAGTGAATTTAGGTTGGACACAACCAGATACACAATGTTTACATTAATTCTGGGTTGGTTTTTTTTTAAGGGAGTGGTAGCCTTTAGTTATGATTTATGGAGGCTCTTATTACCACATCTATTCCAAGGGTTTTCTCACACCCCTTCATTTTGGAGGAATTATTTTGATTCAAAAACAACTTTAATTGACTTTTTGTCTTTCAATGTAGAACGTGTTTGTGATACATTGTCAGGCAAGCAGCCTGCAGAGAAGTGTAATTCTTGTCTCAGGCCTCTGAGTGTGTTGATTGTGGTTGATGTTCATTTGTATTTGATTACTGCAAAAAATATTAATCCAGCCTCAGTTGTAGAGTTTTTGAATTGGGGTGGGGAAGGAGGTGAAATTTTGTCTTATTTAGTATTGTATTTGCAGACTTTTCATATACAAGTGCTGATTTTGGAAGCATATGAAAAACACATTTGGGAAAGAAGATAACGATAAATGTATGGTGATGTCCAAATGTAAAGTTTAAATCCTAGCAGGGACCTAGGTACCAGGAGGATCGAAGCTTTGCTGTAGTGAGTACCGCCTACTTGCAGTGTGCTCTGTGCCTCACTTTTCCTGTCTATAAAATAGAGCTCATAAATCTTGCCATCATTTGCATAGTGTTTTGATACCAGGTTTCTCTCCAAGTCTGAAGTAACATTAATTATTAGTCGTGGGACTGTTATTTCCCTTTGATTTCTTCCCACCTCCATATTGCCATGTATGCAGCCCCTTCTTCAGGACGGAGGACAGGCTAAACCACCCTCACTGAGATTACTCCATCACCTCTAATGGTGTAGGACAAAGCCAATCATTTCTCCACTCTGGAGTCTAAAGTCTCTGAACTTTATTAGCTCAAGGGAGTGGTAGGACTAAGCGTGCTCCGAAATGCCGATCTCCTGTTTTGATAACTGAGCTCTAAAATCAAGATAAACAAGCTGCCCTATATACTGAACATGTCCTAATTGCACGCTTCAAGCAAACCAGCCAATCAATGACTGTGGGTCACCCGCTAATGAATATTTGTAGTTTTGGAAGATTTCATATGTGATGTTCCTTATACATCTGCAGTTACTAACAGACTGGCTTCGAAGACCCTGTTCAGGAGGAGAACCTGGCTTTATCTAGACCAAGAAACTATGTAATTTAATTTCATATGTTAGCTGGGCATGGTCTCTCTTATTCAAATTATATTAGCTAATACTTCTTTAAAACTGTTTACACTGTGTGCAGAGTTGTGTTTAAAATCCTATTAGCTAATACATTTCCTAGTCTAGACTCAGGGAGGATTGACTCCCTGAAGAACTCATAGCAGGACTTTGTTTACTTGGAAGACGTAGAAGAGGGAGACGAGGAATGAAGGAGTAATGACGTTTGAAACCATCCAAATTACTTTTGCTGTCTGTCCCTCTCCTCGCTTTTACTATCACTAAGATTTTTTTTTATTGAGAGGTGGCTCTCAAGTCATGAGGGTAACTTTGGAAACCATGGGAGTATTGCTACCAACCAAAGGCTTGGCCATTCAGCGTTGGGAGCCAGGGCGCTCTGTGGGAGCAGTGGAAGGAGGAAGGCACAGAAGAAACATCTGAGTTGGGGTGGCCAGTCCAGCAGGAGCCCCAGGGAGCCACATGCTAAGGTTTTCATTGAACCAGAAACACATCATGGACATTCAAGAGCCAAAGAGAAAACTTTATTGGTGGGCGACAACAGTGGCTTCTCAGGTGTACCCCACTAACAGGAGAAGGAGGCTGGCTTTGATGCGTAGATTGCTCGTAGGATGGCCTGATAATAGGACTTACTTCCTTCTGCAAGTCACAGACAACCTAAGTTAGGAGTCCTGTACTTTGACTCACAGTACCTTACTGACATATAAAGAGCCTGAGCGCCCAAATTACGTACCTGAAGCAATCACTAGGACATCAAGTGGTGTGAATACCTTCAGCGTTGCTGATGGAAAATCATCTAATGCCTTTTAGATTCTGCTCCACTCTAAGTTTCTAAACTTGCTTGGTTTTGCTTTTCTTCCCCTGGTCACTCACAGTAGGTCTCAGGAGGCAGATATGATGCTACAGTTGGCAGGTTAGGCAGGAATACCAAACCCATTGCTCTGTTTCCTTTTACGGTCTGTTTTTACTATAACTTGCCATAGTTTTGGTTTAGTAGTGCAAGTGGAATACCTTGGGAGAAAAAACGCTATTATCTCAGCCAGGCATTATATACTGGATAATTCCAAGCCTTTCTGAAGTGATGGTTTGGATTATTAACTTGAAATGCAGACAATGTATCCGATCGTAGCGATAGTGCCTTTTGAATATCATAAAAGAGTTGCAGTAAACTCTAAAGTTGAATGTAAAATTCCCGTTGACGGTGGAGCTGGACTTGCCTGGTTCTCAGGAGCTGGTGCAATTGGATTTTCATCATGATTTTCCTACTGATGTCTCCATTTTCTTAAGATATCCTCGTCTCTGGAATGCCTAACCTTTCTTTAAATCGCCTTCTTCCTACGGTGCCATCACAAATCAATTCCACTCCCACAGTCATCATTCAAATATAAATAAGTTAGTTAAATGATTTACCAAAATGTGGTAAAACAAATAGACCTATCCTGTGTTTTGTTTGAGGTTTGGTTTGGTTTGTTTTCTAAAACATTCTTTTCCTTCTCTTTATGTTGCTAATCTAGAGCCTTATAATAAGGGCTTTTTCTGTCTTGTCCATTAAATTGCATGCACATCAATAACACTGTGTATCAACATTCATTAATAAACGTTGGGTCCTCTATGTATCCCCCTTCCTGGGTCAGATTATTCTATACTGTGTATTTACTAGAGCTACATCCTGTCTACTTCAGCTACTCGAGTAAGTAGCAATATTTTAAATGTTGAGTATATAGTGTGCGTCATTTATTTGTCCTGACTAGATCCACTGCTGATTTCGTAAACATTTGGGGAAAGAAATACCAAACTAGCAAATATTTGGAGAACCCCCTAATGTAGGATCTTAAGAGGATGATATTGTTTCTCAGTTTGAAGATTAAAATCAGTGCTGTTCACAGCTGATTAACTTTCCTTTCTAATATTTCCCACAAATTGAGCTAATGTAATAAAACTTAATGAAACAAGGTTTAGTAAAGCCACAGAGAATATTTATATGACAGCAAGTTATAGAGCAGTTCAGGCAGTCCTGACGTTCGCTTTGTAATGGCTCTGTGCTCTATCCTGTCCAATGGATGGGTGTAGCAATGACAACAGTCCTTGTGTTGGGTTGAAACCGCCTCTTTGATAACTCAGCGGTGATGTGCATTAGGTGCGGTATATTTTCTTGATACGTAGTTGGTGATCGATCATTGCTTTCTTTCCCATCAACTCTAACAATTCTCATTTTTGGTCGTACAGAGTCATCAGCAAAGTGGTGCCAGCTCCAGAGGCCAAACCTTCTACTCCTGTGAGCCGGCCCAAAACACCTCCACCCGTGCCGTCACCGGTACCAGCTCCGGTTCATGTCACCCCTCCTCCAGCTCCAGCTCCTCCTCCTCCACAGGCTACCGTCTCACCAGTCCTCATCCCACCACCCTCTCCAGCCGTCTCGGCAGCAGGAGGTTCCAAAGCTCCAGTTAGGAGCGTGGTGACCGAGACCGTCAGTACTTACGTGGTAGGTAACGCATACTGCCACGCTTTGTCCGTGCTGGTGACATTCATCTCTTGAATTGTTGAGCTCCTGGGTGACTCACCATCTCAAACTGATGGTATCTGGCCTTGTGATGTTGCTCTCTATTAAGCTACTCTTTATCCAGCCTTGCTTCCATGCACTTGTTTTGAGGGGTTAATAACTTAATTAAAACAAACACTATTACTTGGACTGATTTTTTTTCTGTGCTCCCAGTTCAATGTTTAAGTTTCTTCTAACAAGTCCAGTTATATCTCAGTTGGTATTTTCTGCTAACAGAGCTAGAGCATTTCATTTTGGAGGTGGAGATTTTTTTATAGATGCTTTCATAAGTGCTGAATTGAAACCTCAAATGTCAAACTCACCATAGATTTTGCTGTCAGTCAGGTGAAGTACAAAACCCTCGTACAACATCAGGAATTTGACTTAGCCCTCATTTGAAATGTGTAGAGTCCACTAATCTCTTTTCTGGTTTCCTCAACATACAGAAATTGCAAATGTTTGTGCATCTCAGAAAGTCTGTAGATAGTTCATTAGTCTACAGTTCGTTAGTCTGTTTGACATAGGCTCTGAACTTGGCCTCTCTCTGGTAGCATTGAGACTTCTTCATTCCTTCAGAAGAGTCTCCCATCCGACAAGATGTAGGAACTGCATTCTCTAAAATAACATTGACGTACCTCTGGGCAGGACGAGGATTGCTGTGCTACTGAACATTTCTGCTTTAGATGCAGTGTAAAATGGAAGTCCTGACCGTTTCTGGTCACTGAAGAGCAGCAGATACCATTAACAACGGTAGCAGTGCTGTTATCCTCCCTGTCGTGGCTAAGTTCCAGCTTGGTTGGTGACACCTTGCTTATCTGTAGTGGGTAGCAGTTTAAAAATCTCACCATTTAAAACACCTGACGCTTGCTTTATTACAGAGGTTGCTGTGCTTTAATTGCGACACATGCATGATTTTTCTCTTTTTTGAAATTCCTGTTTTTATAATGATTCCTAAGGTAAATCTACCCTGCCGTTTCTAATGGAAAAGGTGCTCTTCCCTGCTGGACTTAAACTGTTGTATCGTGTTACTGGTCTCTATTTAAACAGCTGCTACATTTCACTCCTGAGTTGGTTACAGCACTAGATGACCACACATAGGCTGTGCATATCTTTAGGGTGCAGGATACATATCCTCTGGACACCTTCTGTATCACAGATGTAAATGCAGTGTCACTCTGACGTATTACAGTAGTGCCCAGAAGCTTGGAAATTCACTCTAAGAGAAACATTTCCAAAATACTGTACTACATCCAATTTTCTTCAGTAAGCATTAAAAGCAAATAACTTAGAGATGATGTTTGGGCAACCTGGTCTAGTGGAAGGTGTCCCTGCCCACGGCAAGGAGGTTGGAACTAGATGGTCTTTGAGTTCCCTTCCAACCCAAACCAGTCTGGGATTCTATGATTCGATGTTTAAAGAAGGAAAACCAGGAGCTTTTCCTAGGTACTTCCAGTGGCAACACACTTAGCACGTTATGGAGAGTTCAGAGGACATGTAGACTCCAGGTTATTTCTTTCTTTTACAACCTTAGAATTGAAATCAGAGCTTTACTGCATTAGGATACAACTCTACGCAGGCAGAGAGACTCCTGATGTGAGACATTTACAAATCAAAAAGCTGAGAGAGGTTGAGGGAGAAGGGAATAATAATTAATAACTATTAACCCCTTATATGAAGGGAATCCAGGACACAAAATGATGAAATGGCTTTCCCCAGGTTGCCTGAGGAAGCTCTTCTAGAGATAAGATTGGAGCCAGGGTGACAGAGGTGTGCAACTCCCTTCTGCAGAGGAGGACAGGAGGATGATCGTATAGTTTAAAAAAAAAAAGATAACGATGTGGGATCTACCTGTAGGATAGCATCTTAGTAAGGGTGCTCTGATCATTAACTCTCAGCGGTTTGTACTAAAATAGCATTCAGCAATCACATACTGTCCCTCCTTCCACGACCCTTGGCTCATTAAGGAATGAGAAGTTACACAATATTTTTAACATCCTCATTCAGCAGGTTCTTGGTTAACAAACCGGCAGAGGTTGCAGTGATTGTAGACCACCCCATCCCTCTCCAGCCCCTGAAAACCTGAGACAGGCATTCTGCAGACAAACATCCCCTCCTGAAAAACTAAGTTTGGAAAAGTTAGCGTACCTGTCCTCTAATGGGGCAACATTAGGCAGCGCTGCCTACCCCTGCCTGTGCCCAAAACAGGCAGCACCCTGTGTGGGGTACCTGCCAAGTGCTGGAGGATGGTGTGGGTGCAGCCGGGTTGCTCAAGCAGGTTGTAAAAGGGCTGTGGCTGTCAGCCCGACAGCCCACAGCATTGCTTCTCTGCAGCACCATGGCACAGCATCTCCTCCTTCCCAGCAGGATTACCCCGCAGAACGGACTATGGACCTCTTCATGCCGAGTGAAACAGTTTACCTGCAGAGCAGACGCTTCTCTACCAACTTAAAATGACTTTGCAGATGTGAGATTAGATGCGTAGATAGGAGTGATTATTGCAATCAATCAGCTTTAAAATCAAGTTCATTGTGTGATGTTGCCTACTCCATGTTGCCGTTGGGAAGGGGATTGTTCCCTGCTTAATATTCCTGGGCTTTGTATTTTCTAGTTTTAAATCCCCCCCAAAAAAAAAAATCAGGGCTTTAAGAGGAGTCAGTCAAGAGTGATGTGTTGGTTGCAGCTCTGGTACATTCCTATTGATTTTTCAGGAAGTGGTGTAAGATGTACAGACCACCGGGTAGTGGCTTTTGGTTTTTTTCTAAGAGCATTTGGGGCTTTTCATCTGCTAGTTTTTAATACCATTTTTGTAAGCGGTACAGATAGCAAAAAGTTAGTGCCTTAGATATGTGTAAATGTAGTAATGCACAAAAGCTGAGAACAAAACAATTTATGTTTTTTGAGATTCAGTGATAATGTGCAAATCTTCATAAAGGAATGATGAAATCAGGGTAATACCCCAGACATTTTGTACTTTGTATTGTTATTGCGCTTTGGGTGGATTTCGTGACATTTTGCACGTATGTTTTTACCAAAGAACTGTTAAAGAAACCACTTGAAATTTAAAAATACAAATAACGGGTCTGGCAGGATATAAAGATTAAAAAAAAAATTCATAAAGCTCCAAATATGATAAATCCAGTAAGCAGCTGCCTAATACTGTAAATGATCGGCCTCTCTTGTTTCATTTACCCTTTAGTAAATTGTACTGTGACATAAATGTCATAAGGGGAATGGAAAGTTACTCAGTAACAAGTTTTTTTATATCCTGATCTTATCAGCTCGTTGAAGTTGAAGGCTTTGGCTAATAAGTAATACGGCAATATATACCCATGGCACTGTATATTTTACATGCACATAAGACTGTTGTCTTACGCAGGAGGCTGCCGTTGCTTGTTCTCGCCATTAACCAGGTAGAATTTAAAAAGTCGCGATAGTATAGACAGAGAAGGAGTTGTGTCCTTAAACCCTGGCTGCTACGTGTGCTTAGGTCGGGTGGTATAACTGGCTTTACTGGTTTACAGGACAATACAGAAAAATGCACGCTTTTGTCGTCATGTACAGTATAGGAAAATCAATTAAAACATAATGCTGAGCACTTACGACCAGAGAATTCATAAATAACAAAGGTGACCAGTGGATTTCTTTGTCGGATAAGCAAGAAACTTCTTTTAAAAAAAAAAAAAAGTCAATTTTGCTGCCTGCTTAGCCCTGAAACCCAGCTAACTTTCCTTTCCTTTGCACCAGATCCGAGACGAGTGGGGTAACCAGATCTGGATCTGTCCTGGCTGTAACAAGCCAGATGATGGCAGTCCAATGATAGGTTGTGATGACTGCGATGATTGGTATCACTGGTAAGTTGTTCTCACCCATCCTGTTCTCCCGTTCCCTGGCAGATTGGGGCTACATTATTAAAAACCTCTTTTTTTTTTTTTTTTTTTTTTTAATGGTTCATTACGCTGGAAATATTTAAATGGCTTTACAGTGTCCAATGTAATAATCTGGAAGATATTTTTATCTCTGTTTCTCTGGAATTTGAAGAAGCAGATTTTTAAGCTGTGAAGGAGAGTTACTTTTTAATTAATGGGCATTGGTGATAACAGTTGTTTTCGAAACTGCTGGGAAATATTGCTGATTCCAGTAATTTTGTGAGAACTACAGGATTATGAGCGTAGTGTATACAGATAGACATTTCAAATTATGAAGCATTGTATGAACAGTAATATAAATGTCAGCTCTTATAAAAGAGTTGGAGGGAATTAATCACTTTTTAGGCTTTTTCTTAAACAGCTATGTAAAATCATACAGTTTTCTGCAGATGTGTTAAAGAAGCGTTTGAAATTATTTTAAATCTAGCCTATTATACCTGAAAGTGTGCTCGTATTTTCCATTAAAATAACATTTCTTATCAGCGTCCTTTCGATACACTTTTTTTCGTCTCAAAGCAAGTGGTTTTTTTTTAGATTTCTGTTCGATCGTTATATTCATTAAGATAATGATAATATAATTGCTACATTAATTTGAAGGCCAGATCCTGTCTCCCACTGAAAAGTTTCATCTCTTTGGGTGAGAAACAAAAGTAACGTTACTCCGCCGAGATGATAACGATATTTTCCTGTCCCCCACAGGCCTTGCGTTGGGATTACGACTGCACCCCCAGAAGAGATACAATGGTTCTGCTCCAAGTGTGCCAATAAAAAGAAAGATAAAAAACACAAGAAGAGGAAGCACAGGGCACACTGAAGAAGACTTTGCAACGGACTGAAGTCGTGCGGGCGCCGCGGCGCCTTCGGCCCCGACTCCCTTGCAGCGTCCAGCGTGCTCGTGTCTCACCCTCCGTCACCGGCTGTTAGGGTTATGGCTCTGGAGTGAATCAGGGGAGAGGAGATGCTCTCTGTCAGGGGCTGTTGCGGTTTCGCAGACCGTCCGAGCCCAGGGGGTTGGATTTTGGTACATTCTGATTCTGTCTTTCGCCTACCGAGGGAAATTTGCACAGAGCGATATGAAGACTTCGGTAGTTCATGGTACCGCTCCCGCTCCTGTGGCTCGGCAGCAACAAAGATGAATGTTGTAAATACAGATATCTGTCCTATTCTTTCTCAATTTGTTATTGATCCCTCCTGAACCTTTGCAATAAGGTGCTGGGAGGAGGAGAAAATGTAAATTGCAGTTAAGTTGTAAACTGAGGAGACCTTCTGGAATGATTTCTGTAGTCTGGATACAGTTCAGCCTCTACTCCTGCTGAGCCAGATAATCATAATGTGGAAATAAAAAGTGGCTGGTAAATATTTTTGTGACAAGAATATATGAAGCTTTTTTCCTTGATTTTTAGTACTAACATAAAATAAACACATTCAAGCTTTTGTGATATATCTTCTATTTTTTTAAAAAAAAAAAAAAAGGTTTCTATTGTGTCGATTTTTTTTTCCCCCATGAGAATTTATTTCGGTGGACCTGTAATATATTTTATACTTTGGTTTTTGTTTTTTAGTCTTTGTCAATGTACCTTTTCATTGCTTGTACATTTCATTGGTGTGTAAAAACACTTCCCATTAAAAGATTTTCACACGTGTAAATACCTGATATTTATAAAGTACTTTTTTTTTTTTTAATTATTTTTTAGGGCTTGAGGATTTTTATTTTCGTTTGCCTGAGAATACAAACCTAGCAGCTATTAAAAGCTGGTGCGACGTACGCCTGTCTTTATGGCTTTAAGGGATTGGCGAGATTTGCCCCAGCGGTGCGCGCACGAGGAGTCGGCCAGCACCGTAATTAGGCCTCAATTCAGGTACTTAAACATGTGGTAACTTTTTAAGGAGTGAGTAATCCTATTGCCTTCAAGGAGCCTGTTCCCACACTTGGTTATACATGTGCTTAAATGCCTTCTGAATTGAGAGCTTAGGCCAGGGGACTCTGCACTTTTAATGGTAGCTACAGTGTGTTAATCTGTAGCTGGAACTGAGCTTTTTCTTCTTTTTTTCTTTTTTTTTTTTTTTTTTTTAACAAGTGATAGTGAGTTTGCCAAAACGATCAGGCTCGTGTTTAGACGGAGGAGATGCAGAATGCTGTCACGCAGCAGATGTGTTACTCTGCTTTGTGTATCCCCTTGGAAAGACCAATAAAGTGAATACGAGTGGTATTCCCCATTGAGAATGAGGGGGAAAATTGCAGAGGAAAAAAAAAAAAAAGTCAGTATTAGATATTGTAGTGCAATCGGTCTCAGAGCTAAATAAAATATAAGAATAAATCTGGAAAAAAAAATTATGTTTTGTTTCTGAAGCGATTTTAGACTTCATTGGTTAATTTGGGGATATTTCTACTTTAAACTGTACAGTGAGAAACATCTGATGTTTGAGAATATGGCCCTTTAACCTGTTGTGCAGATATTGAGTTATTTTTTAAATGCATCCAAATTGATATTAATGAGAATGAATTAGTCATGTTTTTAAAAGTACCAGTCTAGTTAGGGAAATGAGGCTTTGCTGATAGAATTGTTAAATTGCAAATCAGTAGAGATATGGATGAAATTGGTTTATTAAAAGTGCACTGTTACCTTCTTTGTTCAATGCCACCTCATTTATATTCCCTCCCTGCTAATTACCAGTCAAGAAAGTTCTTGGGTTTGATTTTTTTTTATTATTACTTTATTTTGAATTGTCGGATGTTGCAAACCTGATTCTTGTTTTTTTCCCACGTGTAATGTGCAGACATACAAAATACACAGTCTTTGGTGATTTCTGGTTGCAATAATAAAGAACTAGCTTTTGGTAAGTTGTTTATCCATTTCCTCCTCCCCTCTGTTAACCAGAATTTCTCACATTTAATCAACTAAATTATTCAAGGGGCCATGAGAGGGCTGAACTTTACCGTTTCGACGGCCGTTCAGCTACTTCTATGCATGCTTGTGCATTGCTGTCGCCGGGTTGGTTTCCTACCCTGGGTTTTATGATTTTATAAATGACCCCTGTGGCAATAAAACCAAAGCATCATTTTCAGGAGGCTTGTGTGGCTGATGGGATTAGTAATGGGAGAAGGGGCCCTTCACCTCCGGGTCATCGGTTTGAAGCCAGCCCTGGTCCGTAGCTGTGCAGAGCCTTTCACTTACACTGGGGTGTATCAGGAATCAGTGGTATAAAAAAATAATCAGCTTCCAAAAATAGTTACCCCCTGAGCAGCCATGTGGCATGGACCTTCCTTACAGCCCCTCGTACCACCCAACGCTGAGCAAGCCCAGCTGTTTCCCCAGATGTTTGTATTTGCTGCTGTAGCTTCACAGGTTGTGTTTCTTCTTCATAAACTCTGCCAGAGTTAGGACTGCTCCCTTGATTCGCTGCTTGATTTTTATGGTTGGGCATTTGTGTTCCTCTGAATCCTTTTATGATTTGGGTTTTGGGCACCACCGTCCATGGAAAGAAGGCACAGTGGGGTGGGTTGCAGGATGGTTTGCTCGTTGGATGTCATGGTAGAGCATCAGCGTCTCTGAATAGTTTTCCTGCCTCGGAGGGCAGCTTCATTCAAGAGGAAAGTCAGTTGTGAGCGCTGCCTCTGGAAAACATCTATTTCCATGGGTACTTGGAGTAGAACTGGTTAAAAGTCTAGAAAGTAAAGAATTCAAGAGTTTTCAGTGAGGAGAAGACAACTTGCCATCTGCCCACGGTGCATAGAGAAGACAGATACAATTTTCCCCCCCTTTACTGATGCACCGTACGTAGTGGATTTAGGTGGTACGGCGAGTATTGGTAGCAAATATTCAAGAAAAGAGCGTAAAAGCTATTCCGTGAGAAAAGCTTGTTGAATCCTGCCTTTACTCTGGGGCCAGATTATTATCTGGAGTCAGTTGGAGCTGTGTCAGTTTACACCAGCCCAGGAGCTGCCCACTCGTGCGGCCGACGTTGGGGCTGGGGAGCAGCTCCGTTCGTTCGTTGTGAAACGAGGCGGGTTTTTCTATCCTTTTTATCCTGTAAATGCTCCTTTATGGCAGTTTGTGCCTGCAGGTCGCTGGAGAAAACGGCGGTGCTGGGTGCTCGCTGCAAAGCGTGTTAGTCATTAGGCAAAATCGCAACTCGTTAATGAGTTTTGCACCCAGAAAAATCCATGATGTTAATATCGAGATGGTAAGCACAAAGCTCAGAAATGGAAGAAACTATCTTGACTACTGATTTTTATTGGAGGGCAGAGATGTAAATGCAGAGCATCCATCCCCAGAATAATGGGGTGCACTTTTCCTGAGATAATCTTCCTTCGGGGCTGTACATCGTGCTCAAAGCATCATTTCTCTGCTTGACAAGGTGTTTCTCTTCTGAAGGTGTCCGCAGCTAAGTACAGTGAGGATCTTTATGCTCCGCAACTGATTTGTGATTCCAAATGTCCCGGAAAAGAAAAAGAAGAAAAAAAATCAAAACCCCTGAATCGGAGGGTATCAGAGCCTGCTGACTTTGTCTGGGCTTTCCAGAGATAAAATATAGTGTATTACTTCACTGTATCACCTAAACCTTCTTTGTTCTCCTTTCAATAGGACGATTAAACAAAGACCTACTAACCAAATTAAAGTATAAAATGAACGCTGAGATATGGAAACCTTGCCAGGAAGAATGTTAATGAATGAAGTTCACTAAAGGCATGCTGGCTAAGTTTTCAATACAAATAGTTTTATGGCCAATCTCTTTAGATCATAGCAGTTTTCTTTAGAAGTTTTAAGTCTCAAAAGTAGATGAGTTTCCTTCACCGGGGAATGAATTAGATAATGCTCTGAATAAACTCCCTCTTCGCAGTCTTGTCAGTCATGCTACTTAGGAAACTCTCCCTTTCTTCTGGGGACTCTCGGATCAGCTGTAACCTAAAAAAGTAGAAAGCTGCTATTAATCCCTGTGCGCTGTATGGCAGAGGAGGCTGTAACGGGAGATTTACGGCCGGCAAACAGCTCGTACCTGGCTGATGTGAGCAGAAGCCTTTAAACGTGAGCTATGGCAGCTGATCCTGGTGGGCTTTCCCTCAAAGGTGGTGTTTCAGACTGTTCAAGGTTTAGGTTGGGTGAAGGAGGGGGGGGACAGACTTTTTAGGAGAGCCTGTAGCGATAGGACAGGGGGTAATGGTTTTAAACTAAAAGAGGGTAGATTCAGACTAGATATAAGGGAGACGTTTTTTACAGTGAGGGTGGTGAAACACTGGCACAGGTTGCCCAGAGAGGTGGTGGATGCCCCATCCCTGGAAACACTCATGGCCAGGTAGGACAGGGCTCTGAGCAACCTGATCTAGTTGGAGATGTCCCTGCTTATTGCAGGGAGGTTGGGCTAGATGGCCTTTAAAGGTCCCTTCAACTCAAACCATTCTATGATGATTCTAAGATGCAGCCCTTCGTGTTTACGGAATCACCTTTTGCACCAGGACTTTAAATCCTGTGATACTGTCCACAGGGAGAGAGGAGGAGAGCTGGGTGCTACCGGAGCATGCTGTCCCCGTCACCCACTCCCCCTTGGCAGTCTCCCCATGAATTTTCCTTCCAGTCCTGGTTTGCTCCAGAGACGCTGACCCTTAACTTGGGTTTCTGGTGGCCAGTTCCAAAACCACAGCAGCTCGGCATCTGTTGAGTGCCATCCACAAACAGGGACTTGTATTCAAACGTGGTGGCACTGAGGAGGTGCTGATAGTTGAGATTTGGTGGAATATTGCTGCCCTGAGCTTCAAGCAAGAAGGCAAATTTTTCAAAAAGCAGAATGTCAACTAAACCCATGATATGTCCAAGGTCTTCCAACTATTTTTTAAAACACAAGGAGAAAGTAATTTCTTGTGAACACAACTCCCTGTTATGTTCTCAATGTGAGCATTCCCATAAGGACTTTGGAACAGGTTTATAAAACCAAACAGAAAATATTTAGATTATTTTATTGCCTAAACGAAGGGATGAGGGAGAAAGAGACTTAAAATAAATTTACACAAATTTATGTTTCATCACCTGTCGTGAGTAGGAATTTGTTTTACAAATTCAAAAGTCTTGCCTCCCTCAGGCAGTGAGGGTTTGACAACTTACCGTGCCTGTCCTTTGCTTACTGTGGGACTAATGAAAAGTGTGATGGGGTGTCACCAACCCGACACCCTGGTGTCACCTGGGGCCGCCGGCACCACTGCTGCTTAGCTGCGTGCAGGAGACCTTCAGTTCTCTTCCTTCAAGCTGATCCCTCCCCAAGTGTGGGACTGGGCACTGTTTGCAGTGGATTTTTATAATCTGGCATCGAAATTTAAAAAAATATGATTTTTTTTTCCTTTTATGGAAACAAATTAGGGACAGGGGATAGTGTGCAACTGTTTATTTTTAATTGAGATGTCATTTACAGCACTTTTCTAGTAAGCACCATAAGAATTGTCATCTTAGG